AGGCAAAGTTCTGGCTCGCTTGTTCCGGGACAGTTCCTGGAACAGCTGGAATAAGCATCTCTGTGGTGTGTGTGTGGGGCTGGAGGCCTTCCCGGAGCAAATGAGACGTGGCAGAAGGGGCAGGGGCAGGTGCAGAGCCTCCTCTGCCCCATTGCCACGGGTGCTTCCGGGGCTGGCCAGGGAAGCTGCGCTATTCCCTTGGTCAGGAGTTGTCATCGCAGAGGAGCTCCGGAACAAAGGGCACATTCTTGCAGTCAGCACTTCAGTTTCGGAGCTCTTCCTGTCACCCAGTGCATTAATCCCCCCACCCCTTCCAAAAAAAGCTCTTTTCCTGCAGGAAGAAAAAGCTTTCCAGCCCTCCTAAAGTCAATTCCCCTTCAAGAAGCATTAGGAAATGCACCGAGAGCCCTTTACCCGATGTGCATTGTATGGCAGTGTATGGAAATGAGCCTGGATCCAATGAGACGGAAGCATTTAAATATTCATCATGCCAGTACAGCATATGCAAAGCAGGCTCTGGGCAGGGCTGTGCTGAGCCGCTTTCATTTGCTTTCTGTGGCTAATGAGGCTGGTAATGACGTGCTCGGCGCTGGGGCTGGAGCGGAGCGGGGCTGCGGCGCCCGGAGCTCATGGGTGCCAAAGGCATTGCATTAAGTGAAGACTGAGGGGCTGGGTCAGCCCAAGGGCTGCTAGCCCAGGGGACCCTCCTGTGCACGCGGGGAGGGACGTGGGGTGGGTGCAGCCACACGCTGGGTTTGCTCTTCTTTCCCCTTTAGGTCCGTGCTAGTGTGGCCGTTCCCTCGCGGGCGATAGGAAGAGCGCTGTGGTTGTCAGTATCTCGGATTGAAAGCCTCATTGGATGTCTCAGGCTCCTTAGCTGTGTGGAATCCCATCTCCCTTCTCATCCTTCCATAGCCTGGTGGTGTTTATTCACCTGTTCCCAGCAGGTATTGTTGCTTGCCATGGAAAGCTTTATGGCCTATCCAAAACCAGCTAGAAGAGCACTTAAAACTTTTTATGATCTCTTGTTATGATTTATTATCATTAGATCCCACCTGCAGTCCTCATCCAGCTCTGAGGGAAGAGCAGAAGGACTGGACCTGTTGGAATGAGTCCAGAGGAGGCCATGGGGATGCTGTGAGGGCTGGAGCAGCTCTGCTCTGGAGCCAGGCTGAGAGAGCTGGGCTGGGGCAGCCTGGAGAGGAGAAGGCTCCTGAAGGGGGACCTGAGAGCAGCTCCAGTGCCTGAAGGGGCTGCAGGAAAGCTGGAGAGGGGCTTGGGACAAGGAGTGTAGGGACAGGCCAAGGGGAATGGCTTGAACCTGCCTGAGGGAGACTGAGATGAGCTCTTAGGCAGAAGCTCTTCCCTGTGAGGGTGCTGAGGCGCTGGCACAGGGTGCCCAGAGAAGCTGTGGCTGCCCCATCCCTGGCAGTGTTCAAGGCCAGGTTGGACACAGGGGCTCGGAGCACCCTGCTCCAGTGGAAGGGGTCCCTGCCCGTGGCAGGGGCTGGAGCTGGAGGAGCTTCAAGGTCCCTCCCAACCCAACCCATTCTATTATTCTCGGTGTGTGGTGAGAAAGGGACTGAGTCCCTCAGCTCTTTCTGCAGGGATGGTGTGATTCATCCAGCTCACAGGGATGGGAAAGGAGTAAAAACTGATTGGCTCTCACAAGCCCTGCTTGTTTTCGAGAGGTGCCGAGCTCTTCCATTGGAGTTTTCTCCCTTTTTCTTCCTTTCTTTTTTCCTGCCGGCAGCGAAGAAGGAAGTTCCAATTCTAAACCAGATACGGAATGAAGATGAGCATCTTCTCTGCTTCCTTTCTCTTTAATGATTCCATGATGCTCTAATTGGGCTGTAAGTTGGCTTCAAAAGCTGCAGACTGCACCTGTGCTTCTAATGAGCTTTGCAATTACAGGAATAGCTTCATCTTCCTTTTAATTAGGCAGTGACAAGGTGAAAGTTGCACCTGAGTTCCTTTCATGCTGCTTGTTTCTTTGCTCCTTCCTCCAGCGCACAGGTTGGCAGAGTCCCTGGACCCGGGTTAATTCACAGACCTCACACAGGCTGCAAACTCACCTGAGCCTCCGCTAGCACATTCCCTCCTGGAGACACCCAGAGCAGATCACGTCCTTGTCCTGCAAACTCCTGCTGCAGCCCCCAGCATCACCCTCATGCTTGGCAGCCACATGTGGGCAGGGTGAATCCCGTCACCGGGCTGTGATGTATCCCGTTGGCCCTGCAGGAATCCCGGAATGGTTTGGGTTAAAGCGCATCCAGTTCCACCCCCTGCCGCTCCGTCTCCGCTTGGCCATCGAGCCGTTGATCACCACTCTTTGCATGGGCCACCCAGGCCATTCCATATCCACCGGGTGCTCCATCCATCAAATCCATGTCTCTCCAGTTTAGACACAAGGATGTCGTGCAGGACAGTGTCAAATGCCCTGCACAAATCCAAATAGATTCCATCCTTATCCACCAACGCTGTGGCTCCATCTCTAAGGGCATGACTTGTCCTTAGAGATGCCGTGTTGGCTGTCACCAGTCCCCCCCCCCCGTCGCCCATGTGCCTTAGCGTGTTTTCCAGGAGGATCTGCCCCATGATCTTAGGATCATGGAATCATAGAACAGTTTGGGTTGAAGGGAGCTTAAAGCTCCTCCAGCTCCAGCCCCTGCCATGGGCAGGATCCCTTCTACTGGAGCAGGGTGCTCCAAGCCCCTGTGTCCAACCTGGCCTTGAACACTGCCAGGATGGGTATCCAAACCTTCTCCATTCAGCCCATCCCAGTGTCCCAGCACCCTCACAGGGAAGAATTCCCTTATCTCCAACGTGAACTTCCCCTGCTTCAGTTTGAACCCATCTTGGGGGGGGATATTTCCCCTTTCCCAGGCAGGAAGGTGCTGCTGTGCACCAGGAGGTGCGGGTGGCTCCGTGCATCCTCACTTTGGGACTCCCCATTCTGTATGTGCCGGTCATCCCACGGAGATCAAGAATCCTCCTTTTCGGAGCAGCTCCAGGTGTGGGAGCCGAGGGCAGGAGCTCATGGATCTGCTCATCCCTGGATGTGCAGCCCCGCGGGGGAGCGGGATTCCGGCCGGCCGGCGCGCAGGGCTCAGCCTCCTGCATATTACAGTGGGAGGCTGGCGCTGGAGTTAATGCTATGCCGGGAAGATGGAGCCTCGTGAATTATTCCTGCGGCTTCCCGGGGGAAGCAGGCGCTGCTCCAGCTCCAGCTCCCACCGAAAGCCTCGGGAAGGGCTTTGGGGTGGTCCCGAGCCCTGGCAGGCGGCGGGGTCAGCACCAGGGCTCTATCCCAAGCGTGTCCCTGGAGGAAAGTGGATACTGGGGGGGTAGGGGGGTGAAGGGGAACAAACGGAGCCCTTTGTGCTGCCCCGGGGTGTTCCGTTAATGTGGTGATTAATGTATTCATTTATGCTGATGAAATGCTCTGTTAGGGGCTTGATGAGCCGGCGCCGAGCCCCGGTCGGAGGGCTGCTCCGGGTGGGGTCTGCTGGGTGCTGCAGAGCCGGGGGCTCCCCTTGCACCCAGCCGGCAAACTGGGGCTTGCAAAGGGTGCGGAATGGGGATTGGGTTTGGGAAGAGGTGGGATTGGGGTTTGGGGGGGTCCTGGCACTTCTGGGCCTCGCTTTTAGGGGGGTCTGGGATGTGGGGGCTCTGGCTTTTGGAAGGGGCAGCAATTTGGGCACCACTGTTTGGCAGTGGGGAGTTGCTGGGTGGTCAGGATGGGACTGAGGATGCCTGGGAAGGTCTAGGTTTGGGGAGGGGGCTCCCGGTGGGGGGGCTCTGGGTTTGAGATGCCCTGGGTTGGGGTTTCCAGGTTTTGGGGGGGCTCCACTTAGGGGGCAGTCTGGCCCAAAGTGAGTCTGGGGCAGCTCCAGCCTTGGGGTGCTCTGAGTTTGGGATTGGGGGGGGGGGGTCTGGTTTGGGGGAGTCCTGAGCTTTGGAGCTCTGACATTGGGGGTCTCAGGGCTGGAAGGGGCTCTGCTACAGGGTCTGGTCGGGGGGGGGGGGGGCTGTGGTTTGGGGGTCTCAGGACCGGGGAGCTCTGATTTGGGGGTTGCGGGGTTGGAGGGGCTGGGGGGGGGGTTTGCTTTCAGGGTTTAGGGGCTTTTGGGGGACTCTGGTTTCGGGGTGCCAGGGATGTACTTGGGGGGTCTCTGCTCCGAGTGTGTCCAGGTTTTGGGGGTGTCCCTTGCTCTGCGGGGGGGAGATCTTTGGTTTTGGGGGGTCCCCGGTTTTGGGGCATCGCTGGTTTTGAGGTGTCAGGTCCCTGGTTTTGGGGGTTCCTTGCTCGGGGGGGGGTGGGTGTCCCACTTTGGTAGAGTCTCTGCTTGGGGCGTCCTGCTTTTGGGGGGTTCCGTGCTCGGGGTGTCCCCGGTTTGGGGTGTCCCCGGTTTCAGAAAAGTCCCTGCTTTCGTGGGGGTCTCTGGTTTCGGGGGGCTCTGTGCTCGGGGTGTCCCCGGTTTGGGGGTTTCAGAAGAGTCCCTGGCTTCACGGGGGTCTCTGGTTTCGGGGGGCCCTTGCTCTGGAGGGTCCCTGCTGAGGGTTCCTCGGTTTTGGGGGGGGGGGGGTGGGGTTGGTCCCCGGTTTTGGGGGCTCTCTGCTTGGGTGGTCCCGCTTTGGCGGGGGTCCCTGCTCGGCCCCTTTCTTTTCGGGGGGCTCCCTGATGTCAGGGTCCCGCTTTCGGGGTTGTCCCGGTCCCGGGGGGGGTCCCGAGCGCCCCCCGGCGGCCGCGGCCGCGCAGCACCCCCCGGCTGCGGCAAAGGCCTGCGCATAAATTATGTTCATGACGCAGCAGCGAAAAAATCCCCCCCCGGGAGGCGCGCAGGAGCCCGCACCCGCGGAGCGCCGCGGCCCCGCCCGCCCCGGCCCCGCTCCCGCACCCGCACCCCGCAGCGCCCCCGCTCCGCGCCCGCGGGGTCCCGGTGCCGCCCCCCCCCCCTTTGTGCCGCCGCTGCGCGGTGAATGTTTGATTGTGCCCCGGCAGGCGCGGAGCGGCCCCGCGGAACCCCCGCGGCCAGCGCCCGGTGCGGTGAGTGCGGGGCCGGGGCCGGGCGGGGGGCGGCGGGTCCCGGCGCGGTGAATATGCAATGCCGTAATTAGCATAATTTATATATTTATGATAAAGAGCGATGGATTGGGGGGGGGGGGGGGGGAAGGAACCGCGCGGAGGGAGCGCGGCGGAGCGCGGGGTGCAGCGCTGAGGGGGGGGTTGGGGTACGGGGCAGGGAGATCGGGGGGAGTTTTTTGGGGGGGGAAACTGGGGAGAAGTGGGGATGCGGATGGGGGGCACGGGATGGGGGTTTGGATTAGGGGAGAGCGCGGAGAGTTGGGGGTCCCTGGGGGACCCCGGAGCTGGGGGTGTCCAGGGAAGGGGGACAGAGGGGGCTGGCGAGCCCCGGGGCAGAGGCAAGGGGGTGACAGCCCCGGGGGCTGTGGGGATGGGGTTTGGGGTGCAGGAGAGGAGGAGCAGGGCTGGGGACGAGCAGTGCTGGGGGGGGGGACACACGCGCAGTGTTGGGGTCCTGCCGAGGGAAGGCAAAGGGACCCCGGGGTGGGAGATGAGGGGTGCGGGGGGGGGGCAGGAGCCAGGCAGGGATTTGCGGATTCAGGTGCCCCGGGGGTGAGCAGAGCCCCGGGGGGGGGGGGGGCGGTGTCCAAGGGCATTTGGGGTTCTCTGCAGGGTTTTTGGCTCCGCAGGGTTCGGGGGGGGGGGGGCTGTTTGTGGTGCTGTAGGGGTCAGGGGGGGCTGTTTGTGGTGCTGTAGGGGTCAGGGGGGGCTGTTTGTGGTGCTGTAGGGGTAGGGGGGGCTGTTTGTGGTGCTGTAGGGCTAGGGGGGGCTGTTTGTGGTGCTGTAGGGGTAGGGGGGGCTGTTTGTGGTGCTGTAGGGGTAGGGGGGGCTGTTTGTGGTGCTGTAGGGGTAGGGGGGCTGTTTGTGGTGCTGTAGGGGTAGGGGGGGCTGTTTGTGGTGCTGTAGGGGTAGGGGGGGCTGTTTGTGGTGCTGTAGGGGTAGGGGGGGCTGTTTGTGGTGCTGTAGGGGTAGGGGGGGCTGTTTGTGGTGCTGTAGGGGTAGGGGGGCTGTTTGTGGTGCTGTAGGGCTAGGGGGGGCTGTTTGTGGTGCTGTAGGGGTAGGGGGGGCTGTTTGTGGTGCTGTAGGGGTAGGGGGGGCTGTTTGTGGTGCTGTAGGGGTAGGGGGGCTGTTTGTGGTGCTAGGCAGGTCGGGGGGGGCTGTTTGTGGTGCTGTAGGGGTCAGGGGGGGCTGTTTGTGGTGCTGTAGGGGTCAGGGGGGGCTGTTTGTGGTGCTGTAGGGGTAGGGGGGCTGTTTGTGGTGCTGTAGGGGTCAGGGGGGGCTGTTTGTGGTGCTGTAGGGGTCAGGGGGGGCTGTTTGTGGTGCTGTGGGGGTCAGGGGGGGCTGTTTGTGGTGCTGTAGGGGTCAGGGGGGGCTGTTTGTGGTGCTAGGCAGGTCGGGGGGGGCTGTTTGTGGTGCTGTAGGGGTCAGGGCTGGCTGTTTGTGGTGCTGTGGGGGTCAGGGCTGGCTGTTTGTGGTGCTGTAGGGGTCAGGGGGGGCTGTTTGTGGTGCTAGGGAGGTCGGGGGGGGGCTGTTTGTGGTGCTGTGGGGGTCAGGGCTGGCTGTTTGTGGTGCTGTAGGGGTCAGGGGGGGCTGTTTGTGGTGCTAGGGAGGTCGGGGGGGGGCTGTTTGTGGTGCTGTGGGGGTCAGGGCTGGCTGTTTGTGGTGCTGTAGGGGTCAGGGGGGGCTGTTTGTGGTGCTAGGGAGGTCGGGGGGGGGGCTGTTTGTGACACCGCAGGGGTCGGGGGGGGCTGTTTGTGGTGCCGTAGGTGTCGGGGGGGGGGGCTGCACCCCTGCGGAGGGAGTCAGTGCCCCGGGGGCAGCTCGCAGGAGCACCCTGCACCCCTCTGTTTGCTTCTCGGGGTGGGGGGAACCCGCCCTGGGTGCTGCAGAGCCCCGGCTGGCAGAGGATGGTGGGGGGGGGGGCCCTGGAGAGAAGAGCAGGGGCTGTGTCGTGTGTCCCCCCCCCCCCTCAGACCCGTCCCCAGCACCTGCAGCCACCTCAGGGTCCTGCTTGGTCCTGAGCCTGCTCCAAAAGCCCCTGGGGGGGTCAGAGCACTGCCCCCCCCCCCCCCCCCCCCCATGGCATTAAATGGGACCATAGGCTTGGGGGGGGGGGGGGTGGGGTGTCTGTGCTCCCTGAACCAGCCGTGATGTTCCTCTGGGATGTCCTGGGGTGCTGAGGTGGGTCCAGACCCCCCCTTGGCAGCAGCGGTGATGGCTGCTCCGGGCGCTGCCTTGAAGGGCTTGGGAGAGCCAAGCTCTGCTCCTGGTTTTGCCCCGCTCCTCTGGCATGACCTTGGGAGGTGAAGTCAATCCCATCAGCTCCGTGTGGAGCGGGAATAGAGACAGCTTCCCAGCGGGAAAAGTGGCTCTGGAGAACGAGTGGGTTCCTGGGAGATCACCGTGAGCTGACCCAGGTGCTCCCTGGGCTGGGCACTGGGTCTGCAGGGCAGGAGGCAGGGAAGGGAGCTCCCGTTCCTGTCCTCGGGATCAGGCTTGAGCCCCAAGCACCCTGTGAGGGTGGGAAGCGTGAAGAAGAGATTGAACCGAGGATGAAGAGAGGCAAGTGAGGATGGAGAGATCCAAGCAAGGATGGAAGAGATCCAGCTGAGGATGGAGAGATCCGTTTGTGGATGAAGAGATCCAGCCGAGGATGAGGAGATCCATCTGAGGAGGAAGAGATCCATCTGAGGAGGAAGAGATCCATCTGAGGATGGAGAGATCCAGTTGAGGATGGAGAGATCCAGCCGAGGATGAGGAGACCCAGCCGAGGATGAAGAGATCCAGCCGAGGATGAAGAGATCCAGCCGAGGAGGAAGAGATCCAGCCGAGGAGGAAGAGATCCAGCCGAGGAGGAAGAGATCCAGCCGAGGAGGAAGAGATACATCTGAGGATGGAGAGAGCCAGCCGAGGATAGAGATATCCAGCTGAGGATGGAGAGATCCAGCTGAGGATGAAGAGATCCAGCTGAGGATGAGGAGATCCAGCTGAGGATGAAGAGATCCGGGTGAGGATGGAGAGATCCAGCTGAGGATGAAGAGATCCAGCTGAGGATGGAGAGAACCAACTGAGGATGGAGAGATCCAACTGAGGATGGAGAGATCCAACTGAGGATGAAGAGATCAAACTGAGGATGAGGAGAACCAGCCGAGGATGAAGAGATAAAGCCGAGGATGAAGAGATCCAGCCGAGGATGAAGAGATACAGCTGAGGAGGAAGAGATCCAGCTGAGGATGGAGACATCCATCTGAGGATGGAGACGTCCATCTGAGGATGGAGAGATCCAGCTGAGGATGAAGAGATCCAGCTGAGGATGAAGAGATCCAGCTGAGGATGAAGAGATCCAGCTGAGGATGGAGATATCCAGCCGAGGATGGAGAGAGCCAAGCGAGGATGGAGAGATCCAGCTGAGGATGCAGAGATCCAACTGAGGATGAAGAGATCTAGGTGAGGATGGAGAGATTCAGCTGAGGATGGAGAGATCCAGCTGAGGATGAAGAGATCCAGCTGAGGAGGAAGAGATCCAAGTGAGGATGGAGACATCCAGCTGAGGATGGAGACATCCAGCTGAGGATGAAGAGATCCAGCTGAGGATGAAGAGATCCAAGTGAGGATGGAGAGATCCAAGTGAGGATGAGGAGAACCAGCCGAGGATGAAGAGATCCAGCTGAGGATGAAGAGATCCAGCCGAGGATGGAGAGATCCAGCCGAGGATGGAGAGATCCAGCCGAGGATGGAGAGATCCAGCTGAGGATGAAGAGATCCAACTGTGGAGGAAGAGATCCAGCTGAGGAGGAAGAGATCCATCTGAGGATAAAGAGATCCAGCCGAGGATGGAGAGATCCAACTGAGGATGCAGAGATCCATCTGAGGATGAAGAGATCCCGCTGAGGATGAGGAGATCCAGCTGAGGATGAAGAGATCCAGCTGAGGAGGAAGAGATCCAAGTGAGGATGGAGACATCCAGCTGAGGATGGAGAGATCCAGCTGAGGATGGAGAGATCCAGCTGAGGATGGAGAGATCCAGCTGAGGATGGAGAGATCCAAGTGAGGATGGAGAGATCCAAGTGAGGATGAGGAGAACCAGCCGAGGATGAAGAGATCCAGCCGAGGATGGAGAGATCCAGCTGAGGATGGAGAGATCCAGCTGAGGATGGAGAGATCCAGCTGAGGATGAAGAGATCCAACTGAGGAGGAATAGATCCAGCCAAGGATGGAGAGATCCAGCTGAGGATGGAGAGATCCAGCTGAGGATGAAGAGATCCAACTGAGGAGGAAGAGATCCAGCTGAGGAGGAAGAGATCCACCCGAGGATGGACAGATCCAACTGAGGATGGAGAGATCCAACTGAGGATGGAGAGATCCAACTGAGGATGGAGAGATCCAACTGAGGATGGAGAGATCCAACTGAGGATGGAGAGATCCATCTGAGTATGAAGAGATCCATCTGAGGATGGAGAGATCCAGCCGAGGAGGAAGAGATCCAGCCGAGGAGGAAGAGATCCAGCCGAGGAGGAAGAGATCCAGCCGAGGAGGAAGAGATCCAGCTGAGGATGAAGAGATCCAGCTGAGGATGAAGAGATCCAGCTGAGGATGAAGAGATCCAGCTGAGGATGGAGAGATCCAGCTGAGGATGGAGAGATCCAGCTGAGGATGAAGAGATCCAACTGATGATGAGGAGATTGAGCCGAGGAGGAACAGATCCAGCTGAGGAGGAAGAGATCAAGCCAAGGAGGAAGAGATCCAGCTGAGGAGGAAGAGATCCAGCCGAGGATGGAGAGATCCAGCTGAGGAGGAAGAGATCCAGCCGAGGATGGAGAGATCCAAGAAAGGAGGGAGAGATCCACCCGAGGATGGAGAGATCAAACTGAGGATGGAGAGATCCAGCTGAGGATGGAGAGATCCAGCTGAGGATGGAGAGATCCATCTGAGGATGAAGAGATCAAACTGAGGATGAGGAGATCCAGCTGAGGAGGAAGAGATCCAGCCGAGGATGGAGAGATCCAAGAAAGGAGGGAGAGATCCACCCGAGGATGGAGAGATCAAACTGAGGATGAAGAGATCCAGCTGAGGATGGAGAGATCCAGCTGAGGATGGAGAGATCCAGCTGAGGATGGAGAGATCCATCTGAGGATGAAGAGATCAAACTGAGGATGAGGAGATCCAGCTGAGGAGGAAGAGATCCAGCCGAGGATGGAGAGATCCAAGAAAGGAGGGAGAGATCCACCCGAGGATGGAGAGATCAAACTGAGGATGAAGAGATCCAGCTGAGGATGGAGAGATCCAGCTGAGGATGGAGAGATCCATCTGAGGATGAAGAGATCAAACTGAGGATGAGGAGATCCAGCTGAGGAGGAAGAGATCCAGCTGAGGAGGAAGAGATCCAGCTGAGGATGGAGAGATCCATCTGAGGATGGAGAGATCCAGCTGAGGATGGAGAGATTCAGCTGAGGATGAAGAGATCCAAGTGAGGATGGAGAGATCCAGCTGAGGAGGAAGAGAGCCAAGCGAGGATGGAGAGATCCAAGCGAGGATGAAGAGATCCAGCTGAGGAGGAAGAGAGCCAAGCGAGGATGGAGAGATCCAAGCGAGGATGAAGAGATCCATCTGAGGATGAAGAGATCCAGCTGAGGAGGAAGAGATCCAGCCGAGGATGGAGAGATCCAAGAAAGGAGGGAGAGATCCAAGAAAGGAGGGAGAGATCCCCCCGAGGATGGAGAGATCAAACTGAGGATGAAGAGATCCAGCTGAGGATGGAGAGATCCATCTGAGGATGAAGAGATCAAACTGAGGATGAGGAGATCCAGCTGAGGAGGAAGAGATCCAGCTGAGGAGGAAGAGATCCAGCTGAGGATGGAGAGATCCAGCTGAGGATGGAGAGATTCAGCTGAGGATGAAGAGATCCAAGTGAGGATGGAGAGATCCAGCTGAGGAGGAAGAGAGCCAAGCGAGGATGGAGAGATCCAAGCGAGGATGAAGAGATCCAAGCGAGGATGAAGAGATCCAAGCGAGGATGAAGAGATCCAGCAGGGAATGGAGAGTTCCAGCCATGAATGAAGAGATCCATGTGAGAACCGAGAGATCCATCTGAGGATGGAGAGATCTAGCCAAGAATGGAGATATCCAAGCGAGGATGGAGAGATCCAACTGAGGATGGAGAGATCCAACTGAGGATGAAGAGATCTAGGCGAGGATGGAGAGATCCAGCTGAGGATGGAGAGATCCAGCTGAGGATGGAGAGATCTAGGCGAGGATGGAGAGATCCAACTGAGGATGAAGAGATCTAGGCGAGGATGGAGAGATCCAGCTGAGCATGGAGAGATCCAAGTGAGGATGGACCCATCCAGGACCATGGCCACCCATCCAGGACCGTGGCCTCACATCCAGGACTCTGGCCACCCATCCAGGACCGTGGCCGCACATCCAGGACCATGGCCACCCATCCTAGCTCATCATGACCCTGTGCTTTCCTTTGTCACCTTCATTATCAGCCCCAGGTGGCTGCGTTTCCCACTGGCACTGGAGGAGGAGCTGGGCCTTTCGAACGAGTTTTCCTGGAGTCTCCTTTGGGATTCAGCTGCCCCAGCTCCTCGGTGCTGTGACAGAGCAGCCAGTGCGGATGCTGCCAGCTCCCCCTGCAGCTCCAGCCTTCAGGAATCCTGGAGCTGGCTGCAAGGCTGTGCTGAGCAAGGCTCAGCTCCAGCTCACTGCTGGCCTGTGCCAGGGGTGGCATCTCCTCAGTCTCCCCCTGGGTGAACGCAGGAAGGCTGGAAAGCGACACCGTTTCGGAGGCTCTTTAAGGGGGAAGCTGGTTTGGGAGGGACAACAAAGCACCTTGCAAACAGCTTGGGGGCACTGGCGTCCAGGTCCCCCCCCGCCCCCCCCGAGACACCTGGGGATGTGCTTGGGAAAACAATCCATCATTTCCAGCCTGGATCTTTCCACTCTGAGCATGGTGGAAAGTCGGAGCTGCCGAGGCTGCGGCGAGGGATGCTCGGGCTCTGCTGTTACCATAAGCTTCATTTCCAAGGAAATGACCTGGATCTGTCCCCTTCGCATCAGTGATGGCTTTGCTGGGAGGTCTTGGGGTGCTGGTACCACTGTGGGCAATTCCCGAGGGCTGGAGCAGCTCTGCTCTGGAGCCAGGCTGAGAGAGCTGGGCTGGGGCAGCCTGGAGAAGAGAAGGCTCCTGAAGGGGAGACCTGAGAGCAGCTCCAGTGCCTGAAGGGGCTGCAGGAAAGCTGGAGAGGGGCTTGGGCCAAGGGCCTCATCCTGGGATCGGGATGTCCGTCCATAGGGATTAACCCAGGTTAATGCCATTGGGCAAGCGGCGAGCTGGAGCCGTGGCCAAAGCATCTTCAGCGCCGCGCAGCGTCAACCGAAACCTCTGTGGGCTGCTCACCTGTGGCAAGTTGGTTCCAACTTAGATTTCCACCCACTTGGGATCCAAGTGGCTCCATCTCTGACTCATCACCGCTCCTAATTAACACAGCAATTATATTCACAGGGAGACTTGGAGCATCTGAAGTTATCCCCCCCCTTCTCTTTGCTTTTTCCTGTAATATTATTATTATTATTATTAGTTTGTGCATTTCATTTCCTCGCCGCCATCTGCTCGAGCTGCTGTCTCCCTGCGCCTGCTCCCAACACCACCAGCTGGGCACATCACTTGTCCCATCAATTGCAAGCTCAAACCCAGAAGGACCAAGTGCAAAGAAGCGAAATGAAAGGGTGCGGGAGGAGCAGCCCACTCGCACCCAGCAGCACCAGGCTCTGCTCAGTCGAGTGCATGGAACAGAGGGAAAACTCCTTCTCGCTCTTCTTCTCTTTGCTCCACACTTGGATGCAAGGGGGCATCCATCTCTCTCCCGTGGGGCAGGCCTGGGCAGCTCCACACTTGGATGCAGGGGGATGGCCCAGGTTGGAGCAGGGCTTTGCTGTTCTCCAGCCTCGCGGTTGTGCTAGAAGAGACCTGAGGGAGGCTCCTGGACTTGGCGTGGTGGGGATGGAGGGCAGGGGCTCTGGTGCTGGCAGCACCATTCAGGCCCCAAGCTCCCAGTGTGTGCATTAACTTGGGTACCACATGCGTTTGGGGCAGCTCCTGGCTTGCCTTGAGTCGCCTTTTCCCAGCGGTGAGGATCAAGAAGCAGGGATCAGGTTGGGAGGATGGGGCTGCCCTTGGGTTGTCCGGTTGCTCCTCACTGCAGAGCTGGGCACAGAGACAGCTCCGGGCTTTCTCTCCCTAGAGCCCGAGCCCGTGGCACCGCAGCCCAGCAGGACCCAGGAGCCAGCCCCATCTCCTGCCTGGAGCATCCCTTCAGCCCCGAGCAAACAGTGAGTGAGTACCCGGGGCTGCCTCCATCATCCCATGGGATTGTGGCTCCAGGCTCTGCTCTCTGGGGTGGGTTTGGATGTGCCCTGGCTCTGCAGGAAGGGGCTCCCCAGGGACCATCCCTTCCCTTTCAGCTGCTTTCACTGTGCCCTTGCTGCCAGTTTGGGATCCCAGCTGGGGCTCAGCTCCCCCTGTGACCGCTATGGGACAGGCGCTGGGGAGCTGGGGAGGGTCCCTAGGGCAGGGAGGGGATGGGGTGAGAGGCTCAGGTGTAGGAAAAAGCTGCTACAAGACACCGGGCTGGGGGGAGTCCTTGTTAGCAAAGCCCCTGGGGCTGCTCTGCTTGTGCTGGGCCCCAGTGGGCAGCGAGGTTTGGTGATGCAGAGGGGAGATCAACCTGGAGCAAGCGCATCACCCCCATGGGGCGGCATCAGCCCCACTGTGCCCCAGCCGCCCTCCCTTGGCCGGGGTCTCTACACAGAGCTGGAGAAGCTCTTCTGGAGCCTTCGCCTTCCCTTGCTCCCTGCAGTGGGAGCCGGTGGGGCTGCTTTGCCTGCGCTGGCTGCCGGGGCAGGGATCCCTTGCTCTGCCTTCCTCACCTGGGCTGCTGGGGGCTCATCAGCTTTTCATGGGCAGCAGCCTGGCTCTAGCTCTGCTGCACTGGAGTGGATGGTGCAGAGCCCTGTGCTGTGGTTCCAGAGGAGAATTCGGCTCCTCATTCAATGGAGGCTCCTTTGGACCCAGAGGATCCGAGTACCTCTGGTTACTAACGGCACACAAACGCCAGCTCCGGCGCAGGATGCGCGCGGCGGCCCCAGCAGGAGCCTGGTGGCTTCTGAGACCCCCCCAAATGATGAAGGGTTTGTACAACGGTGCTGGGATGTCTCCTGGGTCCTGGAAGTGCCTCACGGGCTGATGTGGCAGAGCGGAGAGACAGGGGCTGCCTGCACCACGTTCCCTGTCAGGGGTGAAACCCCATGGATAGGGTGCACTGACACCAGTCCGGGGCTCAATTCCCTTGTGGATGAGCTGTGAGCTTGAGCCCAGAACCCCCCCAGTGTGGGGCTGCACCCCCAGAGCGGGAGCAGCAGCTCCGGGAGGGGATCCTGCCCCTCTGCTGCGGGAAGGGGAGACCTGAGAGCAGCTCCAGGGCCTGAAGGGGCTGCAGGGAACCTGGAGAGGGGCTTGGGACAAGGGATGGAGGGACAGGGACAGGCCAAGGGGAATGGCTTTAAGCTGCCCGGGGGGAGACTGAGATGAGCTCTGGGGCAGAAGCTCTTCCCTGTGAGGGTGCTGAGGCGCTGGCACAGGGTGCCCAGAGAAGCTGTGGCTGCCCCATCCCTGGCAGTGCTCAAGGCCAGGTTGGACCTAGGGGCTTGGAGCACCCTGCTCCAGTGGAAGGGGTCCCTGGAGCTGGATTGGAGCTGGAGGAGCTTTCAGGTCCCTTCCAACCCAAACCATTCCATGGCTCCGTGATCCTATGGGAGGGGAGCGCTCAGCTCCGGTCACTCCCACCAGCATCACCGTGCCCCAGGCTCAGCAGCAGGTACACAGACAATGAGGCCTTGGCCCATGCGTGGAGCAAGTCGAGGTCATCGGGGCTGGTTAAATACATCCCGAGACTTCCCCCATCAAACGTTCAGGAGCCTCTTACAAAGGCACTTGTGCTCCTGCAGGGCAGCGCGGGGACCATCCGGGAGCCGAGGAGTTCATGGAGGGCATGGGAAGAGGGCGAGCTGCCTTCCAACAAGTGGGCTGCCCCATTGATTTAGGTCCCCTTAGGAAGGAGCAGATTGACCCTCCTGCTGCTTGCAAGCAGCAGCGGGGCTTGGGTGATGCCCGAGCCTTTGGGTACCTGGCCTGGGCTTCAGACAGGAGGAAGGGCCGGGTGGTTTGTGCCTGGAGCTTTGAGGGATTCCCAAGGGAAGAGCAGGAATTGAACCTCATCTCCAAAGGGAGAGAACAGGGGGAAAGGCTCCACCCTTGGAGTAACCCTTCCCTGCTTGTACGTGTGATGCTCACCCCGTAAACGGTGCTGCCCCCCGAGCTCATTGCCAAGGGGATGGGAGGTGCTGAGAGGTACCCGAGGCACCGGAGCCTCGCTGGGCAGGACACGAGCGAGCTCAGGGGCAGAGCTGGGTGCTGGAGGCAGAGAGGAGGTGGTGCCAGGGTCCAGGTTTGCTCTGCGCCCCGGCTCCAGGCACTGTGTGACCCTGCCCCTGCCCTGTCCCCCCCTTGCAGCATGAGGAAGGTCTGAGCCCTCTCCCACCGTTCCTGGGGCACCATGGACACCGAAGCTGTGCAGCCGCAGGAGGCTTTGCTGACAGTCAACGAGCAGGTACGGGCCTGTCCAGAGCAGCTCCAGCCCCTCTGCACCCCTCCATAGCCTTGGGGACCATGGGGAGGGGAGGTGGGGTTTGGAGCCCCACTGCCTGCCCTGGCACGGGGTGAAAACCATCTCGCTCCTGCCCCATGCTCGCAACCACCCCGTTTGCCCCCAGACTGGGAAGGGGAAGGAGCTGGAGGAGCTTTAAGGTCCCTTCCAACACAAACCACGCTGGGATTGTACGATGCAGGGGGTTCACCCCACCCATGGCCAGACCTATGGGGCTGTGGACCAGCACTGGCTCCAGTGCTGCAGACAGGGGGCTGCTGGGGGTGCTGCAGCCGTGTTCTCCCTGTGGAGGACATCACCTGCTGCTGCCCATGGGGCTGGGGTGGTCACTAAAGCAGGAGGGGCTGTGACCCCCCCCATCCACCCCTCAGTGTGCCTCTGCTTGGTTTGGGTTAAGGACCACCCTAAGGCACATCCCATGGGGTGGTAGGAGCCCCTTCCCTGGGGGCAGCTCTGTGGGGTGCAGCCCCTGGCACTGATGGGCACTGTTGGGGCTGTCCCGCAGGTCATTGTCATGTCCAGCCACGAAACCATCCGCGTGCTGGAGGTCGGCGTGGACGCCCCGCTCCCGGCCGAGGAGGACCCGAAAGCCTTGGAGGTGCCTCCAGGGGAGGTAGCGCGGGGCTCCCCGGGGGAGAGCAGCCCCCCGGGCACTGAGGACGTCCCAGGCAGCACCCAGAGCTCCTGCGGCGGGGAGGCAGCCGGTAAGAGACCGGCGGCACCCTCCCCTCCCTGCCTCATCCCTGCCCCTCCATCCCTGCGGGGGAAGCTGGGCTCCGGAGCGCTGGGTTGGAGCGGGGAGGGTGAGCTGTGCCTGGGGGTGCAGGCTCCGCAGAGCATCCCTGTGCCAGGCCGGGACAGGAGTGAGCAAAGCCAGGTCCTCCTCCGGGAGCATCCCGCCTGGAACCCGGGCTTCCGACAGGGAGGACATCCCTTGGGATGCTCTGCTGGGAGCTCAGCTTTCCCTCAGGCCCTGGAGTTCGGGTGTCCTCTGCCCCTCACCCTGTGCTTCAGGCGCTTCCCTTCTCACATGGGAATGCAGCGGGAAACAAGCCACTGGGGGAGATCCTGCTTCATTCCTCACTGCTTTTTGGCCAGCGCCCCGAGCCTCCCATGGGATCCATCCCGAATCCACGTGCCAGCCCCGCTGCCCTGCCCCTCTCCTGCCACTCTGGTGCTTTATTTATTAAAGGGGCTTTGCTCTGGTTTCTGTGGGTTCTGCTGGATGAAACTGCAGGAAAAGGGTGGTTTTCTTTACACCAAAATGGGATTAAGTGCATTTTATACTTGGGAGTTGCCATTATTAGAAGCCGAGCAGCATAAATACAAGGGGTTGCTCCAACCCCAAGTCTTTCACAAGTAATAACCAGGGGTTAGGAGCAGGGGTTCCCCTCACTGGGACGGTCGCAGTGATTCTGTGATCTTTGGGTGCAGGGCTGAAGACACCCAATGAAGCTCAGCCCATGGGGCCCCCCCTCTGCAGGGTGCTGGGGGGTGATCTTGGTCCCTTCCCTTTCCAGCTCCCCCTGAGCAGGTCAGGAGCTGCACTGCTTTAACTGCTCCTAGTTTTGCCCATAAGAAGCCCCTAAATGCCTTTGCTCTGCAGAGGAAGGTCCGTCCACCTTGGGGTGCTCTCACACGAGCTCCGGGGGGCTGCAGCTCCCCCGGGACACCCACAGGAGGGTGTTTGTTTGCTGGGGATGTGTAATTTGGGTGCCCCCCTCTCCCACTTTGTGCAGATGGGGATTGCAGATGCTATTGCTCCAGCAGCAGCACCTCTCCTGTGAGGGCTGGAGCAGCTCTGCTCTGAGAGAGCTGGGCTGGGGCAGCCTGGAGAAGAGAAGGCTCCTGAAAGGGAGACCTGAGAGCAGCTCCAGTGCCTGAAGGGGCTGCAGGAAACCTGGAGAGGGGCTTGGGACAAGGGATGGAGGGACAGGGACAGGCCAAGGGGAATGGCTTTAACCTGCCCGAGGGGAGACTGAGATGAGCTCTGGGGCAGAAGCTCTTCCCTGTGAGGGTGCTGAGGCGCTGGCACAGGGTGCCCAGGGAAGCTGTGGCTGCCCCATCCCTGGCAGTGTTCAAGGCCAGGTTGGACACAGGGGCTCCGAGCACCCTGCTCCAGTGGAAGGGGTCCCTGCCCGTGGCAGGGGCTGGGGCTGGGGCTGGAGGAGCTTTAGGGTCCCTTCCCACCCATCCCATTCCCTGGTTCTCTGCTATGATTCCTCTCTCCAACCCATCTCCTCTGCCCTCCCCCAGGCAAAGCCAAGCCGGCGGCCGGAGCATCCCCAAGCACCGTCCCCTCCGCTGGCACATTGAGCCACGGCACGAGCCAGCAGCCGCAGCCGCTGGCCCCGCTGGCCCCACAGGTAACTACCCCACAGCACGGAGCGGGGCGGGCGAGGGGGGACAGGGCTGGGCTGGGCTGGAGGCGGTGGCGGGGGGGGGGGGGACGGGGACAAGGTGGGGACCCCCGGGGTGGCGTCCGCTGGCTGTAGGGGACCCCGAGGGCAGAGACGTCCGCTCGTGGCGCGGGGTGTAGGAGCTACACCTCGAACCAAGGCGATCCCTCCACCGGGCGCCCTCGCCTCGAGGTGCTGCCAGAGCCGCGTCGGGGTCGGGGAGGGGGGGGTTTGGGAGGGGGAGATCCCCCCTCAGCCGTCTCCCCACGGAGATGGGGGCTCGGCAGAGCTGGGCACCCAGCTGCTGCCGTGGGAGGGACCCCCCTGTACAAAGACTTTAATGCTCCGCTGATGCTGTCTGCAGTGGCGTTGATTTCTGTTCTTTTTGAAATCTTGTTTGCTTTTGCAGGTCTTGACTCAGGAAAACTTAGCAACAGTTGTGACAGGAGTAATGGTTCCAGCAGGGACAGTTACTCAACCTCTTCTTATCCCCATCAGTATTGCAGGTCAAGTGGCAGGTCAGCAGGGGCTGGCTGTGTGGACATTTCCTACAGCAACGGTCGCTGCCCTCCCCGGATTGACGGCTGCTTCTCCTACAGGGGGAATTTTCAAAGCACCCATAGCCAATCTGCAAGGTAACCGCTGCTCTTCTGCCCTGCAGCTCCTCGTCTGGCACCCCCCCAGCCCATCCTCTCCAGCACGGGGCTGGTGTTGGCTGCTGGGGGCTTGTTTGCAGCTCCCCAAAGCAAAAGCTGCCCGAGTGTGGGAGAAGGGATGGGGAGGATGCGGATGGCAGCACGCACACAGGGATGGGACGAGAGGGTGGGATGAGAGGTCCAGGTTAGGCCTGGGGCTCTGGCACCTCGCTGCAGCAGCTGAGGGTCTGCAAGGGGGGAGACCCACGGGCATGAGAGCAGGCGGAGCGAGGGCCTCGTGCCCTTCCCTGAAGGGAATCGTCTCCTCTTGAGCTCCCAGCAGGGAAGGAGCCAGTCCCAGGGGTGGTTTGGAGCCAGCGGAGGTGACGGGACCCTGGCGGTGCCCCTCGCCCTCTGTGCTGGCAGCAGCACCCGTTTGGGTTCGATTCAGCGCCCGCGGGGCAGGATGAGTCCTGCTGTGGCACAGGGGCTCTGGGGAGACCTTTCCCTATGGGGATTCAGCTCCCCCTGGGAAGGGCCGGTGGGAGATGGGGACACGCGGAGCGCCGGGGGTGAGCCCTGCCCCTGCCTGCCCCTGCTCACGCTCTCCGTGTCTTTGCTCCGCAGCCGCCGCCGTGCTGAACACGTCCATGGCAGCCCCGGTGCCGCCGGCCCAGCCGCTGCAGGCTGCGGGCCAGCCCCGCGCCCCGCTCCAGCCCCCCGCTGTCTTCGCCCCCAGCCCCGGCCAGCCCCCCATCCTGCCACAGCCCAGCGCTGCGCCCACACCGCCCGTCACCCAGACCCACATCGCCGTGCAGCCGGCCGGATTCGCCTTTAACCCTGGCATAGTAAGGACCCTGGCAGCCCGTGGTGCGAAGCCGGGCAAGTTTGGCACCCACTGCCCTCGATCCGGTGCCTGCTGTGGCTGTGGAGAGCCCTGAGAAGCCCTGAGAAGCCGTGAGAAGCCGTGAATCCCTGGGGATGGAGCTCTCTGCTTCCGCACTCCTGTCCCGCGGGATCGCGTGAGATCCCAGCCTGGCTCCCGAGGAGCCGCCAAGCAGGCAGCCCTGCTTTAGGCCAACCTAAAGGACGGATGGAGGACGTCAAGGGCCTCGCACCCCAGCACGGCGAGGCAGGAGCCGCCCTGCCATGGGGAACGGGGGTGGCCGCGCGCGGGGACGCGGTGGCCCCGGCGCTGCCCACGTCTGACCCCGGCTCTCGGTTCTCCGCAGCTCAGCGCCGCGCCTCTCGGGGCGCAGACCCAGCTCCTCGGCTCCTTGGCGGCCACCCCCGTCATCGCCAACACCATCTCCAGCGTGCAGGGCATCACGGGCCAGATCCTCACCAACGCCCAGGGCCAGGTACCGCGGGGGGGGGGCCCTGCCTTTGGCACCCCCCTGCCCCGGCGCTCTTCCTGCCGCGGATGGAGGGCACGGCCCCAGCGGCGCTCCCCATGCGCAGGGGAGGTGCTGGCAGGGCACAGCCCCAGCTCGGCCTCTCCCCCTCGGCCCAGGTCATCGGGACGCTGCCGTGGGTGGTGAATCCCCCCGGGATGGCGGCGGCCGCCGCCGCGGCCCCGGCCCCGAGCCTGCACGTGCAGACGGTGACGCCGCAGCTGCTGCTCAATGCCCAGGGCCAGGTCATCGCCACGCTGGCCGGCAGCGCCCTGCAGGCGCCCGGCGCCAAGAAAACCGGCACCCCCGAGCCCCCGGCCCGCACCGAGGTGAGCGGTGGGCACCGGGGGGGGATGCGGGGCTGGGGTGCTGGCGCCAGGCTTTGGGAGCACAGGAGCATCACTGGGATGTGGCCGTGAGACTCTGGGAGGACTGGAGTGACTCTGGGATGTGGCCGTGAGGCTTTGGGAGCACTTGAGCATCCTTGGGATGTGGCCATGAGGCTTTGGGAGCATTGAGCATCCTTGGGATGTGGCCATGAGGCTCTGGGAGCACTTGAGCATCTTTGGGATGTGGCCATGAGGCTTTGGGAGAACTTGAGCATCTTTGGGATGTGGCCTCATTGCTTTGGGAGCACTTGAGCATCTTTGGGATGTGGCCATGAGGCTCTGGGAGCACTTGAGTGACTCTGGGATGTGACCACGTTGCTCTGGGAGCACTTGAGCATCCTTGGGATGTGGCCACGTTCCTTTGGGAGCACTTGAGCATCTTTGGGATGTGGCCACATTGCTTTGGGAGAACTTGAGCATCTTTGGGATGTGGCCGTGAGGTTTTGGGAGCACAGGAGCATCCCTGGGATGTGGCCATGAGGCTCTGGGAGCACTTGAGTGACTCTGGGATGTGACCACGTTGCTCTGGGAGCACTTGAGCATCTTTGGGATGTGGCCATGAGGCTTTGGGAGCACAGGAACATCCTTGGGATGTGTTTGTGTGGCCCTGGGAACACTTGGGCATCTTTGGGATGTGGCCATGAGGCTCTGGGAGCACTTGAGTGACCCTGGGATGTGGCCACGTTGCTTTGGGAGCACTTGAGCATCCTTGGGATGTGGCCACGTTGCTTCAGGAGAACCTGAGCATCCTTGGGATGTGGCCGTGAGGCTTTGGGAGCACTTGAATATCTTTGGGACATGGCCACATTGCTTTGGGAGCAATTGAGCATCCTTGGGACATGGCCACATTGCTTTGGGAGAACTTGAGCATCCTTGGGACATGGCCACATTGCTTTGGGAGCAATTGAGCATCCTTGGGATGTGCCCATGAGGCTCTGGGAGCACAGGAACATCCTTGGGATGTGTTCATGTGGCCCTGGGAACACTTGAGCATCTTTGGAATGTGCCCATGAGGCTCTGGGAGCACTTGAGTGACTCTGGGATGTGGCCACGTTGTTTTGGGAGAACCTGAGCATCCTTGGGATGTGGCTGTGAGGCTCTGGGAGCATTGAGCATTTTGGGATGTGGCTGTGAGGCTCTGGGAGCATTGAGCATTTTGGGATGTGGCTGTGAGGCTCTGGGAGCACTTGAGTGTTCTGGGCTCCTCAGAGTCAAGGAGCTACTGGAGAGGTCCAGCAGAGGCCACAGGGATGCTCAGGGGTCTCTCTGCTGAGGAGAGGTTGCGGGAGCTGGGCCTGGTTGGGCTGGAGCAGAGCACCCTGAGAGGGGATCAGTGCACACCAATAGCTCAAAGGTGCTGGTGCCAGGAGGATGGAGCCGGACTCTTCCCGGTGAGAGGATGAGGAGCAATGGCCATAACCTGACCCACAGCAAGTTCCACCTCACCATGAGCAAGAGCTCGATGCTGAGGGCGGCAGAGCCCTGGCACAGGCTGCCTGGGGTGGGTGTGGAATCTCCCTCCCTGGAGCCTTCCCAAACCCATCCGGGCCCGTTCCTGTGTGCCCTGCTCCGGCTGGTCCTGCCTTGGCCGGGGTTGGACTGGGTGATGTCCAGAGGTCCCTTCCAACCCTAAGGACGTTGGGATTATGGGATTATGTCTGGGATGCAGCCACATGGCTTTGGGAGCACCTGAGCATCTTTGGGACCCAAGCAAGTTGCTTTGGTACCCAACTACGCTGCTTTGGGAGCCCATGAGCTTCTTTGGGATGTGACCCCTCCAGCCCTGCAGTGCTGCCCCGTGGGGCATCCCACTCTGTGCCTACCAAGTCTCTCAGCCAGGATGGGATGTGACTGAGCCTCACCTTGGTCACCCCCAAACCTCCCTCATGGGAATGGGACATCCCAGAGCTGTCACAGCCCCATTCCCAGCAGGAGCTGGGCTGTTCCCAGTGTCGCCTCCATCCAAACCCAGCAAAAGCAACGCTGTGGCCAGTGCAGGGATGGAGCCGGTGGGCAGGGAGCGGGGCAGCCCTGGCCATGGGCGTGCCATGGGGGTGCTATGAGGGTGCTGACCCCTCTCCCTCTGCCCAGGTCCAGCCCATCCAGCCGGCCCCGGCTCTCGCCCAGCCGGCTGTGGTGATCCCAAACCCTGCCCCGGCGGCCAAGGCTTCCTCCGTGCCCGTCCCCATCACCTGCTCCGAGACCCCCACCGTCAGCCAGCTGGTGTCCAGTGAGTCACGGCAGGGACTGGGATCCAGTGGGAAGAGGGAATCCAGGGTCTGGGATGGGGGAAAGGAGAACGCTGCGTGCCCGTGCTCTGCACCCCTGGGGGTGGCTGCTGGCACCATGTGCCGTGGAGCCCGGCAAAGGGGATGCTCGTTATGGGGGGCGGAGAAGCAGCCCCATGGCCATTCCTCATCATTCCCGTGTCGTGGCCCTGGCAGAGCCCCCGGCTCCCAACAGCAGCGCGGAGGAGGACGGGATCAACCTGGAGGAGATCCGGGAATTCGCCAAGAACTTCAAGATCCGGCGCTTGTCCCTCGGGCTGACGCAGACGCAGGTGGGACAGGCCCTGACGGCCACCGAGGGTCCTGCCTACAGCCAGTCGGCCATCTGCAGGTACCAGCATGGGATGGGCAGCGGGAAAAGGGCAGGGAAGCTGGGGAACACCGGCACAGGGTGCCCGGAGCAGCTGTGGCTGCCCCATCCCTGGCAGTGTTCAAGGGCAGGTTGGACATGGGGGCTTGGAGCAAGCTGCTCCAGTGGAAGGGGTCCCTGCCTGTGGCAGGGATTGGAGCTGGAGGAGCTTTAAGGTCCCTCCAGCCCAACCCAGTCTGGGATTGTGGGAAAGGAAAGGACTAAGAAAAGGAGGAAATGGAAGGAAAGGAGAGAGGAGAGGGGAGGGGAGGGGAGTTGGGAGGAGAGGAGAGGGGAGGGGAGAGGGGAGGGGAGAGGAGAGGAGAGGAGAGGAGGAGGAGAGGAGAGGAGAGGGGAGAGGAGAGGGGAGAGGAGAGGAGAGGAGAGAGGAGAGGAGAGGAGAGGAGAGGAGAGGAGAGGGGAAAAGAATAGGAAAGGAAAAAGAAATAGGAAGGGGAAGGGAAAAGGGAAGGGAAAGGAAAGGAAGGGAAAGGAAAGGGAAAGGAAAGGAAAAAGGAAAGGAAAGGGGAAAGGAAAGGAAAGGAAAAAGGAAAGGAGAAAGGAGAAAGGAAAGGAAAGGAAAGGAAAGGAAAGGAAAGGAAAGGAAAGGAAAGGAAAGGAAAGGAAAAAAGAGGAAAGGGAAGGAAAGGAAAGGGAAGGAAGGGAAAGGGAAGGAAAGGAAGGGGAAAAGGAAATGAAAGAGAAAAGAAAAAAGGGAAAGGGAAGGAAAGCAAAGGAAAAAAGGAAAAGGGAAGGGAAGGGAAAGGGAAAAGGAAGGAAAGGAAAGGGAAAAAGGAAAGGAAGGGGAAAAGAAGGAAGGGAAGTGGAAGGGAAGGAAAGTTCAGGAAAGGGAAGTTAAGGAAAGGAAGGGAAGAGAAGGGAGGGAAGGGAAAGGGAAAAGGAAAAGGAAAGGGGAAGGAAAGGAGAAAGGAAAGGGGAAGGAAAAAGGAAAGGGAAAGGAGAGGAGAGGAAAGGGGAAAGGAAAGGAAAAGAAAGGAAAGGAAAGGGAAGGGAGGAGGAAAGACTGAAGGATGAAGAAAGGGAGAAAAATTGCAGGAGCGGGAAAACTGGAGAAAAGGAGGAAATCGGAGCAGGAGGAACGCTGGAGAAAGGGGGAACTGGAGAGAAGGAGGAAACAGGGAGCCGGTCTCGTGAGAGGTGTCCCCAGCCCATCCTCTGACTGCATGGAGAGGGAGGGAGCTGGGCCGAGCGGGAGGAGGGCCGGTGTGGCCGCTGCCCGCGGAGCCCCTCACCGCGCTGCCGGGGCAGGTTCGAGAAGCTCGACATCACCCCCAAGAGCGCGCAGAAGCTGAAGCCGGTGCTGGAGAAGTGGCTGAGCGAGGCCGAGCTCCGCAACCAGGAGGGGCAGCAGAACCTGATGGAGTTCGTCGGGGGGGAGCCCTCCAAGAAGCGGAAGCGCCGCACGTCCTTCACGCCCCAGGCCATCGAGGCGCTCAACGCCTACTTCGAGAAGAACGCGCTGCCCACGGGCCAGGAGATCACCGAGATCGCCAAAGAGCTCAACTACGACCGCGAGGTCGTGCGGGTCTGGTTCTGCAACCGGCGGCAGACGCTCAAGAACACGAGCAAACTGAACGTCTTCCAGATCCCCTGAGCCGGGCATCGCCTGGAACCCTATCGCCCCCCCCGTCCCCCCCCCGAGCTCCTGCCATCAAAGCACTTTCTGCCCCCAGCCCCGCGGGGGGCGCGGGGTCTCTCCCCCCCCCCCCCCCAGTTTGTCCGTAGTTGTGTCCGTGTGTCCGTCCCGTCCCCATCCTTTCTCCCCCGCATCACACCCGACCGCAGCGTGTTCACAGCGGGCATCGCGCCCGCCTTGTGCCTCCCCCCTGCCTTGTGCCGTGCGTGGTGACGGACCCTGCCTGCGCTCACCGCTCTCTGTCCCCCCCCCCCCCGTGTTGTGTGTGTCCCCCTCCCCAACAAGAGGAGTAATTCCCATGTTTTGGCCGGTTTCCCCTGTTCCGGAGGTAGCGTCGCAGCTCGCTGGGGCTTGAACCCCACTTTCATTTCACCCCCGCTTTGATTTCGGAGGGGTTTCTCCATGGGACACCCCCCACCCTTGGTTACAGCGCTGTGGGTGTTTGGGGCTCCACCGGGCTCCCCAGTGCCCTGAGTTGTTTTTTGGGGGGTGAACCCCACAACGGAGGCGGCTCCGCTTCCCCGTGTGCCCCAACACCCCCCACCCCCCCCGGCGCCAAGGGGGTTGGGGGGTTCGCTCCCCATTTCTCCAGGGGAGCAGTGAGGGACGGCGGCGGCTGAAGGGGGGGTGTTGGGGCCGGGACATGGGGATTGATGCACTTGATGTAGTGGTGTGAAATAAACAGTATTTTTCTTTTTTCTTTTCCTTTCCCCTTTTTTCCGGGGGGGGGGCGGAGGGCGGCCCTGGGTCGGTTTCTTTCCCTCCATCCCCGCTGCAGCCCCGGGAGGGAGAAAATCCCCGCTCCCCGTCCCGCAACCGGATGAGTCCCGCGCCACTCAGCGCAGGGATGAGCCGGGACCGGGATTCGAACCTGCGACCCTCCAGAAGGCACCGCACCGGCCCCCCATCCCCACCAGCGCCCCAACCCTTTCCCCTCATCCAATCCCAGCGCTGCTGCTCCGACTCGAAGCTCTCCATTGGCTGTCGCACACCGCGCGTCACCGGCGTCGCGCGACTCCCATTGGCCGAGCACTGCGAAGGCGGGGCGAGGGTTCCTCGGTGCCACCGCCTCCATCTTGCGGGGCCGCGGCCCGGGGCCCTCGACGGGGCTCGGCCGGGGGGGGGGCGGCCCCGGGGCACCGCGGGGCCTTGGGGGGGGCTCCCAGGGTACGGCCCCGTCGGAGCGGGGAAAGGGGCCTGGGGGTGCCCGGGCAGCGAGGCCCCCTCGGGGGCTGCCGGCCGGAGGGGCTCGGGGCAGGCGCGGCCCCTCGGAGGGGCGTGAAGGGGCCGGGGCTTGGGGGTCCCGGGTCAGACGGCCCCGGAGGAGCCGCTCCAAGGGCTCGGTGACGCCGGGAGAAGCGGGGAGCAGCATGGCCTGGGCGCTGAAGCTGCCGCTGGCCGACGAGGTGATCGAGTCCGGGCTGGTGCAGGACTTCGACGCGAGCCTGTCGGGCATCGGGCAGGAGCTGGGCGCCGGGGCCTACAGCATGAGGTAACGTGGGACGGGGCCGCACATCGGGCCTCGCACCGGGGGGGCGGCTGCGGACGGGGCCGGGACGTGGCGGCGGTGGCTTGGGGCTGGGGTCGCGGTTGCGGTGTTGGGGACTCGCTGGTGCGGGGCTGGTCCCCGCTGTGCTGGGAGCCCGTGGCCGGGCTCTGGGTTTATGGGCAGCGCTTTGCGCCGGTGAATTCCTCCCAGGAGCCGGGCGGGGATGGGGCAGGGGCAGGGATGCGGCTGAGCTGCCCGGGAGGAGGGTGCCACAGGAAGATGCCTTGACACGAATCTGGGGCTTTCTGGGGCGGCTGCAGCTGGAAATGGGGAAAGTCAGGGCTGAAAGTGAGCGGTAACGCACGCAAGCAGCTCCCAGGGAAGTGGAAGAGCAGCGCTCCGCCCGCATCCAGGCTCCGTCCCTCTTTCTTCCAGGACAAGGAGATCCAGCGGCCTCCCGAAGCCATTCCCCGGCTGTTGGGAGCTGTCGGAGCCTTTGGGGTTGGTTTAACCGGAGCGCTGGGGCAAAGCCCGCAGCAGGGGTGGGGTGGGGGTGAGCCTGGGGGGGAGCGCGTCCATCGCCCCCCTGCGACAGCAGCTTCTGGGAGCAGGGGTCCGCCGGTGCTCCTTGTGCTGGGGAGGGAGGGCAGAGCCTCCCGCGTGCGCAGGGACATGCAGCTTTGCACTGGGGGCACTTGCGAAGCTTCAGGGCTCCTTTCCCTCTTCCCTGTCCCCGGTGGCTGCGCCGCTGGCATCTGAAACCTGAGGACTCTTTGGAGCCTGCTCCTGCGCTGCGCTGGCAGGGAGCAGAACAGCGTGCGCGACCTGCCCTCCCATCTGACATTTGCTCTGATGCTGCGGGAAGGGGGAGGATCCAGTGGGCACCCCGGAGCTTTGAGCCTGTTTGTGGCTTCTCCCGGGGGGGTTTCCCCGGCTCCCTATGGAAGAGGCGCGTGGGTACCCTGGGGGCGGGCGCTGCTGGGTGCTGAGGGAGGATCGTGCTTCGTGGTGGTTACGGAGCCTGGAGGCTTCATGGGGCCGTTATTCCCTGGAATCAGGTCTTGAGGAGAGCAGGGATGGCTTTGAAGGTGATGGACGGGCACGGGCTGAGGGCTTCCATCCGCTCAGTTCTTTTGCCGTTGCTTTTTCCCCCTCTTGCCCAGGAGATCTTCTCCCACCCCAGAACTCCTGCATAAAATGACTTTGCCGCAAAGCACGTTCAGTTGTGCAGGGGAGTTTGGGGCTTTGGAGGGAAACACATCCCCGGGAGCTGCAGGAGCTTCTCCTGCTCCAGAGGGAGCAGGCAGGAGCACGCGGGGCTTTGTCTAAAGCAGCACCCACCGCTGGCTGCTGCTGGGGCCACACCGGGTGTCCAGGATGTGGTGGGGCTGCTTGTGGGGTGTTGGTCCCCAAAGGCTTTGCAGCTTCCCAGCTCCCCCCAGACCCCCCCAAAACGCTGCTCCTGAGCTTGGGGGCAATGGCAGGAGGCAAAAGAGCCAAGTGCTTTTTGTGCTGCTGCGAATCCCCTTGCAGGAGCTTTCCTTGGTTGTTCTGAGGAACCCCAGAGTGGTTTGGGTTGGAGGGACCCTAAAGCTCCTCAAGCTCCAACCCCCGCCATGGGCAGGGACCCCTTCCACTGGAGCAGGGTGCTCCAAGCCCCTGTGTCCAACCTGGCCGTGAACACTGCCAGGGATGGGGCAGCCACAGCTTCTCTGGGCACCCTGTGCCAGCGCCTCAGCACCCTCCCAGGGAAGAGCTTCTGCCTAATGTCTGATCTAAGCCATTTATAACCACGTTCTCTCTATCCTTCATGTTCTGTTGCTCCCTGCAGCACTCGGAGCTGGCCCCGTTACCTGGGTCCTACAGTGCAGACACATACGGGTGCCTGAGCAACCAGAGGTCCCAGCTTGCAGTGAAAGGTGGGGTTTGGGCCATGGTTATGGGGGTCTTGGAGGCAGGATGTAGTTGTGGATGGGGCATCCACAGCTTCTCTGGGCAAGCTGTGCCAGTGTCTCACCGGCTCCTCAAGCTGTGGCTGCCCCATCCCTGGCAGTGCTCAAGGCCAGGTTGGACACAGGGGCTTGGAGCACCCTGCTCCAGTGGAAGGGGTCCCTGCCCATGGCAGGGGTTGGAGCTGGAGGAGCTTTAAGCTCCCTTCACCCCAACCCATTCCAGGGTTCCATGTAGCCCAGTTCCCTGCTCACGGGGCAGGGCTGCAGGAAGCTCATCCTCTGGGCTGCCTCCTTTGCCTGACTGTGGGCACGTGCCTCGATGCCAAGAGCAGGGCCTCAGCACAGCTCCATGTCCGGAAAGTCAGGATTTGGGTGGGAAGGGCTCTCCTGCTGGCTCTGGGGAGCAGCCATAGGTGTTCCTTGCCCAGCGGTGGAGGGAGGGTGGGTGCTGTCACTTGAGGGTTAAAGCCCTGTTTGGGTGGGAGCTGGTATTTGGCCAGATCAGTCCAGTTTTTCCTTAGGAAAGGTTTTTAATGTTCAACTAAAGGGAACAAAGGAGCTGCTTTAACTCCTTCGTGCACTGCCACCAGCCCGCGGCCTGGAACAGGAGCTGCAGGGGACCTGGCTCTTCCTCAGGGCTCAGTCAGCTCTGTCCCCTCACCACGGTTCACCTGGGGCTGGGACGGGGTGGTTTACGTGCTCTGGAGCCCTTGTTACGGCTCAGACCAACTGCTGAGGGTCAGGTTTGGAAGCAGTTCCTATTAAATACATGTCCATAGGCTGCCGAGTGTCGCTGATGGGTTTAAATGAACACTGTTCCCCAAGCTCTCGTTGTGAGCAGTGGGAAGCATCTTTGAGCGCAGGGATGTGCAGAGCTCCTGGCCTCTACCCCGGGGACCCAGAGGCATCCTTCTCCAGGGAAGAGTCTATAGTGCAGGGCTTGGACACCTCCCTCCTCCAGCCAGCACCAAGAGTGGCAGCGCAGCACCCAGGGGGTGATGAGTGCGGTGTGCAGCTCCCATAGCACCCAACTCCTGCATCTGGGAGCCAGGAAGGTGCTGGGGCTGTGGCAGGTGAACGGTTGGTGCTGGTGCAGCACCTGGCAGGGTGAGGGGTGACCCAGGAGGTGCCTGCGGGTGTCTCAGGCACTGGGCTCTGGTTTCTCCTCCATCCCATGGCATGGGCGCTGCAGCATCTTCTGGTGTCTGTGGCCATCCCAAGTGCTCGGTGAGGGTTAAGGCTGCGTGGTGCCCACCACAAAGAGCTCTGGGGGCTCTCGATGGCTTTGGGGGAAGCTGGGGTCCATCTCCTGGTGCCGGGGCTGGCAGGGCTCTTCCCGTGTCCGAGCCTGCAGGATTTGCCCCCCTGAGACGTCTGCGTGCGTGGTGCTGCGGGTTACAGCTGGGGGAGGGAGGGTTTGGTGCTCTGACATCCAGCGTGCCTCAAGGGCTCTGCCTGGGCCGGCCCTGGGGCTGGGGGGGGCTTTGGTAAGCACGGAGGAGGCAGTGGTGGAAAATGGGTGACCTGGATCTCAGGACTTCAGCTCCTGCCAGAGGGGAATGAGCTCCTGGGTGCTCTGCCTGGAGCAGGGGGGTC